TGGCATCCTGATGTGGGTACCTTGCATTGCCTAAAAAGCCAGTGTATGTGTTGCAGTGTATAGCATGTTGCATGAGGAAAACACAAAGGTTCCCTGGCAGTGCTAAAACCCAACCTATTAATTTTGTGTGTGTGCAGGATATATGCAAATGTGTATATAAATGCAAATTCACACAGAAGTCTAATATAACTTTGTGTCTCCCTTTTAAGCAATAACCAGCCAGACCAGCTTTTAGTTACTTATGTACAGATGAGGGGTTAGAAAGTTCAGTGGCTCAAAACCCCAGTGTGCTCATCACTGCACATGGACAAGCCTGCTTGCTTCAAACAAACTAAAAATCAGCCCCCGTGACCCCAAAACATAAATCCAAAAACCTGTCTTGCATTCCTACTCCTGCATTCCTGTGCCACAGTGAAGATGAACTGACCCTCAGCATCTGCTCAAGCAGCAAAATGGAATGCTTTCCTGGGCTTCCGCTTTGACATGCAGGGTGAAGTTTATTAAGGGCGTCTGCCAGATACCAAACTTATCACAGAATGGTTGAGGCTGGAAGGCACATCTGGATATCTCATAGTCCAATATCTTGCTCTGAGGAAGGACGCATAAAGCAGGCTTCCCAAGACCATGGCCAATAAAAGTTTCATGGTCTCCAGGGATGCAGACTCCAAAGCCTCTCTGGGCAACCTGTTCCAGTGTTTGATAATCATTGCAATAGAAAGGGAGTTTTCTTGTTTTTACATGGAATGTAGAGTTTTTCATTTTGTGCCCATTTCCCCTTGTCTTTTCCCTGGGCACCACTGATAAGAGAATGGTTCCATCTTCTTTACTACCTCCCATAAAGTTTTCATAGACATTGACAAATCTCCCCCTTATGCATCAATCATCAATGGCAGACACACAAGACAGGAAACAGAAGGCAAGTCAGTAGCCTAGACAAAGCAAAACAAGGATTACTGTGGATCTCAGACAGAACCTGAGTTAAAAAACAGTCATGTTGTTGCATATATGACGAATCCATGCTGTAACATATGAATAGCAGTATTTTATGTAAGGTGAGTGGTCTTACTTCTTACTCAACATTGTCCAGGTCTCTGCTGAAGGATCATGGAGAGTTTGGGCCATTACAACTCAAGGAAGTTGCAGGCCTGTCAGAGAGGATCCCAGTGACAGCAAAAACATTAATCAATGTGCTGAAAAACATCACCTACATGAAAATGTTCGAAGAATGAAGTTGGTTTTGTCTGGGGGAAAAAAAAAAGGGAAGAGGGAAGAGTTAGCTTTCAGGTTCTGCAGGAGAAAGTCATAGACAAAAAAAATACAGCCTTAAAGTGTGAGGGAAGAGATTTAGGCTGGATGTTGGGGAAACTTTCCAAGGTTGTTAAGGCACAGATTGCCTAAGGAGGTTCCTCACCTATGGAGGATACAAGAAGGTTACGTATCTGCACACAATGATAGAGGTAGACCTGACCTTTTCTTAGGAATGAGAGACAGTCATGGTATATCTTGAGGTTTTTCCAACACAACTTCCAGTCATTCTATGAAAAGTGCTTAAAATCCACTTTGAACACATGCTTCCCCAGAATCATTAACAGGTATAGCTACCAAGCCACGCATTTCTACTACAGCATGATTTAAAATGACAAAATCTTCCTTGTTTCATTATCAGCAAACAGAAAGGGAAACTCTAAAATAGCCCACCAAAAGATCTCCAGCACCTAGAGAACACTGATGGGAGAAACTAAGAATAGCTTAAGGTTTAGTCCAAATGATGTGGAGAGATTCCTGAATACCTGAAATAGGCATTAACAGAACTATCCTCAAAATATCTGTGGGCATCCTCCAGATCTGGGCCTCACAGAAGTATGAAAGATTTTCACTCCCACAGTCTGTATTATGCTATTCTTCAAGACGGATTGTGTCACGTTTGTCACACATGGTTCAATCTTGCCCTGAATGTTTTTGCAGCCACTGGCACCATTGCAAAGAAAGTATAAAACACCATCAGGCTAATGTAATGACTTCTTCTATTTGATGAGTCCTAATGCAAATGACTCTGCAAGGCCACAGGGAGCTGGGCTCTCCTGTTTTATGCATAGTTACCTGTCACTCTATCTGCGCGGACGGCTTTCAAAGACCTCTTTGTCTGCAAGGTAAACTCAGGCTGGAGATGATCTCAGACTTGAAATCTCAGCCAAGGGAAGTCATCAGGCTACAAAACCCACAAAGTTAAAAATACAGGGAGCACTGGAAAATCAACAGGAAACAATTTCTGCTGACTGAAGTTTTCAGCCCTCTTCTAAACGCCAGCTAGCAGCGGCCTGTCAGATGGGATAAAGCAGCTACATGAAAGCAGCAGCGGTCCTTAACTTAGTCCATTAAAGCATAAGTGAGTGTCAGGAAAAGATAAGGATTGTCCCTCAGCTGTGATGGTGTATCTGTATGTTTTAGGGGCAAGGGAGTTGAGTTCCCCAGAACCTCTCTCCTCTCTCTTTGCTAGGGTCCCCTGGACAATGGTTGCCAAAGGGGATTTCTCCTTTTCTTTTGGCTCTTGACATAAGCAGGCCTGAAATTAGTCCTGGCAGTTTGGTATGAAGTACTTACCATCTTGGGGGATTCCCAGGCCTGTTGGACATTTGGTGTCTGAACACATCTTTGTTTGGTCTGACTAGGGGCAATGCCTGTCAGACCAACTTAGTTAGGTTGTAAGTACCAGCCATCAAATGAAGTTTGACCATTTTCACCCCCAGCAAAGCAAAGTGCTAAGCTTTTTAGTACAAATTCACTATGGAAAAAGGTTACAGAAGGAAAGCATAAAAAACATGAAGACACAGACCTAAAACTTCACTTTCTTTCTCTGGTGTTCATATCAGATGATTGCATTCCTCAGCTGCAGAAGCTGAAGGTCCAGCTCAGTAAGCGTCTGCCTTAAGAGTAGGACATGTCTGAGGCATCTGAGGCAGCCACAGATACACAGGTTGGAAAACCATCCCTTCATCTCCCCAGTCCATAGAGCCTCTTGAGCCTACATGTAAGCTAGCAAGCTTGCCTTGACCCACTAGAGAGCTCACCCACAAGAGCATCTGCTCTTGCCGAATTTTATCAAGGAGGACTCTCCCCTCCCTACCTCTATTGAGATTGTTTAAATATCTAAAATGCAGGTGCGTTTTAGAGGTACATATTTTTTTCTGTCTTATCCAATATGATCACTGAGGAAGCGTGGCTAAGGCCAAGACAACACTGTGCAATCTCGTAAGAAAAGTCCAGCCAGTCACCTGAATTACTGCCATCTTCCCTCTGTTCATGGGGGTGTGTGTGTGTGCTTGAAGCAGGATTTATTTCCTGGCAACAGAAATTATCCCCCTCGTTTCATTGTAAGTGGGAGTTACAGTGATGTAAGATCATGTAAGGGTGTTGCTTTGAAAAGTTTACACAGGGCTGCAGACACGAAATCTCATTACATCATCAGGTCAGCAGTCCATGGTCATTGCTTTAAAATTATGTGGATTCAAAGAAAAAGGAAAGTTGGAAGTTATTTTTTCATTTGTCGTCTGGCCTCTGAGCATTTACAGGTGCACTGGTTCTCCATTGGCAAGTTTTTTCCATGCATTCATGAGGACAAAACATACTTTTTTCAATCTGGGCTTTGGGGGAGTGTCTGTATAAAAGTTGTTCCTGGCACTATCTTACTATCTTTTGGTTCCAGCTAGTAGAAGTATCAGAAGAATATTAAATAGTATAAGGATCTCAACAAAATTACGAGCACTAGCAATACCATCTGCATGCTTTGATATTACATAGGCACTGGTTAGAAGAGGAGTTTACTGCTGCCCAGTCTCCATCATACTAAGTCTGAAAGAAACACCTAACAGGAAAGGGAAAAAAAAGCTGTTCAAAGGGAGACAACTAAATTTTCTGTGTCAAAAAAAGAAAACCTGATGATTTGTGTTTGTATTTGTGTCTGTGTTTGTGTTTGTATTTGTATTTGTATTCATATACACTGGCACACATTTAATATAGGATTCTGAATCTGTACAGGTATGTTTTCATAGAGCTGGAATGGTAGGACATGCATGGCACAATAAGAGGCTATTCTAGTTTAAGGTCTGCTCGTTTGCTTGTAAAGAACAGAACCAGGATTTGGAGCCCTAGATGAGCACTGATCAGCTAATCCTGACATTCTCCTCCTACAGAGTGGACTGAGAGCATTGATTCTCGCTGGCACCCCTTCTGAGGGGCAGCAGAGCCAGCAGCCATGCAGGAGGATTATCACACCTCTCGTCCAAGTTAATCGCTCTGATTTGTGTCTTAACCTTCACCAACACCTACTGCAGTCATAATCGCACCCGTGTACATTGCCTTTTGCTCCCCATAGCTTAAATATTCCTGGCCAACATTTCCAGCCTTGTCACACCTCTTTGAAAATATAAAGTGTTTGAATAATTGAGCAGTACTGTTAATAGCCTTCCCAGCTTCGCTAACCCTCTGATAGTTAAAATCTTAATAAGTAAACCACATCAGGTGGGTTTCTCTGCTTTTCACCTTCCTGCAGCTTAATAAGGCTTTTTAGCTATTTAGGTTTAAATCTTTTGTATTAGGTTTATAGCTGGCTAGTAGCACAACAGCCAACTCAGACCTAATTCTAAATGGATGTTTCCAAGTGGAAACTTGGAATTTGAATTCAAATGACCTTACCTCTTTTTTATTATTATTATTATTCTTTCCTGTGTGTGTTTTTCAGCTTGCTCATTCTTAATTCCTTCAGTACTTATTACTGCAATAAGCTTAATCCTTTATACTTGTACTCCCCAAGAGTGGGAGCCATAAATACTTCTTCAGTCTCTCCAGGGCAAATCAGCTGTAATGAGATGTCCCATTGCCTCACAGAAAAAAAAAATAAAAATAAAAATAAGGAAAGGCACATTCCAGCCAAAGACAATTCTACATCTGTGTCTGCGTGTTTGTGCCCTTGAGTAACATTCTGTCCTTTTGCTCTGCTTCAGGCTGAGTTCTCCGAGCTGAACCTGGCTGCTTATGTCACGGGCGGCTGTATGGTGGACATGCAGGTCATGAGGAATGGCACCAAGGTGGTAAGGTGAGGAACACCAGCTTGTCTTGAAAATCAGGCTTGCTGGAGCAATGTCAGGGCAAGCAGGATGACCTAAGGGTCTGACTGATGACTTCAAGGTTTCCTGGTAGCAATGGAAAGATTGACCTGACTGATGGTTTTGTATCAGGTCTCAGATGCACATTATGCCATACAGTCATTGTTGCCAGTCTAGACCCTTCATGCAACTACAAATGCCTCTTTTTCAGGTTCTTCTTAGCTTCAGGCCTCCCAGTAAAAGGGACAATGGATCTTCCTTTCCCTTGATTTTTCTCTCCTTCTATGTCGACTAACCTTCATTTTAAACAGTGCCTTGCATTCACTAGCCTACCTGTGTTAGTAATGTTAGTCCTGATCCCAGTGGATTACCCTTGCAGTATCCACAAAGCCTTTCCATTACCATTATCTTTGCAGCTCCTGAAATACCAACTTTTTTTGTTAGAGGTTCTCAATGCTCCAGACTTGCATTGTGGTATGTCTCAGAGGTAATACTGTATATCTGATGGGGATTTCTGTTCCTACTAGCATTACATCATAATTGCAGTCATTGCAAACAGGCTCTTTTCCTGAGCAATGCTTCCCCAGTCATGCACCCTGTTCACTTTCCAAAAGCATTGCTTGCCTTCATTCTGACACCAGAGTGCCTGCAATTTGGAGTTAATGCTAGATGCATTTTTATTGATGCTATATAAAGAGCGGTGTAAGCTGTCACATCTGTGTATGATGGTAAAATGCCTCTGTTTGCATAGCCCTGATATTACCTCTCACCCTTTTATTCCCAGGACTACATCTTAATGAGTTTCTGTCATTACAATTTCTAACTCTACACTTCATCTTTGATAACAATAGCTTTTCTTTGCTAGTGTTGAAATCTCATTGCTATTCCCAATCCATTTTTTATAGCCTCCCTACTTCTTTTGTACAAATCTTTTGTGCTTTTTGGTGTATACAGTATCTCCAAGTTTAATATTGTTCACATATTTAATCAACGCTTTTGTCTGTTAGCTTCTAGTTCAGAAATAAGGCTTGAGACACATAATATAGCATGCAGGGATATTTTTGAAAGAGATTATTAGAACAGCTGAAAAACAGTGATTCTGAGTCTGCTGGCCTCAGTTTAATTTCTCAAGATGTCATTTCCAGTCCAAACAGTGCAAAGCAACACTTGTCACTGTCAATTAGCTATGACTGTGGTCCATCAATTTATTTCAGGTCTTGACAGCTCCTAATCTCCATTCATTCCTTAGTGCAATTTCACAAGCCTCTGCTAAAAATTTTTAAGGTTGTGTCTGTTACATCCATTTGCTTTCTCTCGTCCCACAAATGTCTGTTTCTCAGTGAAACAAAGCCTATGTCCCATGAACCAGCCTCTGGAGCATCCATCAGACAGTGCGCCATGCTAATGTGTTCTTGTGTTCGCTTGCTCACGATGCTGGAAGGTTTCCGAAAACCATTTCCTAGGTTGATCACATCTTCATTTTCCTTCCCCTGCCTTTCCCCCCAAAGCCATTCATACATCTGGCAGAAAGATCTTGAGCTATTAAACTGAAACTGAAGACAAAATTTATTTCACAAGAGTGTCTGGGGCATGGTGTTCATGTTTCTGCTCACAGTAAATGCACAGGTATCACAGCTAGCCTTTTTGTGTGGTTATTTATATATGAAAATGCATGTCTCTATGAATGACATTAGTTCAGGTTTTTTGGGTTTGTGTATGCATGCTTAAGGACACGTGCATTTGTGTGGTGGGAAATGGATTTGGCAAATACATACTTGCCTGGATACCCAATTTATATGGCATGTGTTGTCCATGGTTTGTTAAAAGTCCTTACAAGCACTAGAGCCATTTTTTTACAGGCTGTGCCACTGTGCCCCACTCCTGCTCAGCTCATAGGGCTTAATAGCTCAGGCCAGCCAACTTCCACAGCCACTCCTAGAAGTTACAGAAATAAAAACTCTTCTTCACTTTCAAAGGTAAATTACAGATCTTACTGCTACTGAGCTGCGTGGAGGCCCTTCACCCATCCACACGGATGCAACTTGCTTCTCACTCCCTCCAAATCCCTCATCCCACCCACAGCCTTGTTCTGCCTGACTACAGACACCTCTCAGGGTGCCCAGCCACAGTGAGATGTCACACAGGACACCTTCAACTGACATGTGTGCACCAAACATGCTGTTGATGACATCTTTTTCCATCACTTATTAGGCCTCTGTTAATTATTAAGCAAAAGACTTAGTCACAAGTCAGAATGTTTCTAGATGGTGAGGTATAACACTCATCATGGTTTTTGAATACTCAAAGCCCATGGAAATCCCAATGACAAGTTACAGGAAGGAAATATGACAGCATCCTGCTAACAGGCACATTTGGGATTCCCCTCCTACAGGAACTATGCTTCCTTCACACTCTTCTTCAAAGCAAAAGCAACAGAGCGTGACTCTGGCATAGTCAAAAGACAGTGAACGTACTACAGACCAGTAGGTCTTGAGTTAATGAAATAATAAATGTTTATAACAAGAACAACAATAAGAATAACAAAGCAACCTCTGGACTATTGTCTCCAGCTCAAAATTATGTTAACTGATAGACTATCTAACAATATATTAGCCTATTAAATTCTGTCATTTTGCAGCAGGTTTTCTAGTTCTTTCTTTAAACTGGTGACATCCTCTTGCACTTTTAATTCAAAGCTCTTTCTTTGCTGATCCCTTGATGCTTTCTGACACCTTGAAGTTAAGGCGTTCTTTTAGACCTTGTGCCAACTGACTTGAACATCGCCAGGAAAGAATTGCAGTTCTTTTTCCTGGGAGATAAATCCCTTAATAAGAAAGTATAATGGTCCTTGAAACCCTAGACTTGCTTCAGGCAAATTTAAAAAAAAAAATTAAAATGAGCTTTAGAAGTATTATTGTCAATTAGAGAGAATTAAAGAGAACAAGGAACTGGAAGTTTAGAGATCTCCATGACTGCTAGACTATGTATCTTGAAACAAGTAGCTTCGAGCAAGTTGGCAAACAACTTGAGCCAGGCATCACTTTGTTTGCCTGGATTTAAAACAAATGTGCCTCCCAAATTTAATTTCACTGTAACAAAATTCTGGGTCTCCACCTCCTCTTTTTTAGCTATTAATTTCTGCACATCTGCAGGATGGGGTGAGGGATTTGGTAGTCTCAGTGAAATGTGCTACTGGAGAGAAAGACTATCATCTAACAAATTTTAAACAAACTGCATGTGTTTTATCAGCTCCAGTTCAACCATGGTATGTAATGGCTCCATCAGCCTATTCAGTACATTTTCTTCAGAGACAGAAGAAAAAGAGCTGTCCATGGAGTATCTCACCCAGTCCCTAGCAAACACTTTCCTACTTCAGTGCCCTGTAACACATGTCCTAAGGACAGGTCAGGGGTATGACCTGGGGTCCAGGAGCAGCACTGGGCTCATCCAGGGCTGGCAGGGGCAGAATCTCCGAAATGTTGGTCCTTGTTACCCTAACCTCATTGGGTAAAATTTGCACCAGAGCTTCCCAATGAAAAGTTAAATATGGGAAGCAGGAGATGATACTTATTCATCCCAAAGGGTTCCTCACCAACTTGGACAGAGCAGCCCCTTCACAACAGACAAATGGAGTCATTTCTGGGTGTGATGGCTGGACTACTAAGCAGTGTGAAAAAACAAGCATGGGCTGATGCCTGCTTTTAAAATACTTGGGTGGATTCTTCATCCCCCTTCCAGTGCATGCACAACTTCCTTTTGCACAGGTCTACACACACACGGAGACAGAGTGAACTGTCTGGAGTCTAATTTACCACAGAAAGCTCTTGGGCTGTGTCACCTCTACTGGGATTAGACATAAGGAATGGGATTTTCATTTTCACTTGTCTTCATTTCTCTGAAGGGCCCTTCATACCAGTGTTTCCACAGTGCAAAGTGGCTGTCAGTGCTGGCACTGCACCCACTCTGAGGTGCATTTACACTTTCAGGATATTATAAAAGTGTCTTAGTATAAATGAGAATTTGGGCTGTCTCTGCTTCTGACAACACCACTTAGACTCCCAAACTATGATCTCAGCCTCTGTGTTAGATTAAATGCAGTCCTGTGTTTGCCTTTTGGGCTTTACAAGCCTTCAGCTATTAATTCCAGTAGATGTGGGAATAAGACAGGGATATGTTGAAAATCTAGACAGCTTTTTTATATGGGGAATACTAATGTCTTTGGGAGCATTTCAGACTTTTAAGGATATGAATTAATCATTCACCAGACTGCTCTCATCTCCTGTCTCCCTGTGGAGCTGGCTCTTTTGCCATTGGGGCTTGATCATCTAGGGCAGAAAGTACATTTTTGTGTGTCTGCATGAGACCTACCACAGTGGTGGTCATACCACTTAGAGTGTACTATGCAGACTCACTGTAATACCACAGTACAGACAATAACTGATGGACCATGAGAAGCCTAGGGTCTGAAATGAGGAGGACCCTGCATGGAGCAATGGCCCTGTCAGGAGTTGAGCACCGTGGACAAAGCCTTGTTGTGGGAAAGGATCTCTGCCATAGAGTGGTGTTTAGTCCTATAGGCCTTGCCTGAATTTAGCCACTCTGTATAGGAAGGTGCATGTGTCACCCAGCTCCCCCTGGAAGATATGCCTTTGTCACTCACAGCTGTGGCCGAGTCAGTGAATGCTCTAATTCCTCTATACAAGCCTATTCATTCCTTTAATTAACACTGACTTTCCCGCTGGTTCCAGCTGATTCAGTGCTTCCACTATGCTCTGCACTCTGATAACAGGACAGCAGCCTGTTGAATCACCATCCCGAATAGACCAGGACCTGAGAGTGCTTTTTTTTGCCAGAGCATATTTTTGCACTTCAAGCTGCAGCGCAATCACAACATGAGGAAGCAAATGCTTCTACATGGGAGGAACAGGGAAGAAACTGGCCAGGCTAGCAGCGGGTGTTTTCCTGCTGTTCAGACCCCAGGACATGTGTG